AGTAGTTCTAAGCATTTGCCACGATCATGTTATCCCAAATAATTTTAGTAAATTACCATGACCGCATTCCCGTGTCATATTTGTGCTTGCTAGACTACTTTGTTCATAACCTGAATATTCTTCTAGTAGTTACTTGTGTAGTGTAGTCTTCAGTATTTCCTTCTAAGAAGCATTGCAATTTGTATACTCTTTATATGGAGACAGACAATAGGTGTGGATTACTTCCCTGCAGAAAGTTAGTGGTCTATTTGGTTTGAGAAAGAGTTATATATTTTCATTTTCATTTTTCACAAATAATTACAAAATGTCACCTAGGTTTTACTCTCTTTATTGCCTTGAAAGATTTTCTAATTTTCCTGCACAAATCTTTGAAAAGAAGCAAAGTGGAAACAAGTTGACATCTCTTTATAATTATATATGTTTTGGTTTTCCATTTGTCTGTGTTTTTGCTATCTTTCTATCATGCTTTTTGTCGAATTTTCAGTAAGTTTGATACGATGGAACTGTTTTAATTATGGCTATTTTTTGTGAAAGTTATTAGACTTTTATTATTAATGTTATGTAGGTCTTTAGAATGTGTTTTTGTTTTCTTATCATAGGATCTCCTATTGTTTTCAGCTACACTATCCTCCATAATGACATGGTTTATTTTTTTGCCACCATCCATCCTCATTCGTAGCACTTGTATTAAAATGTTTTACTGCAGATTTAGACAAAATATTAAAACTGGCAGACTGTTGTGGATACTGTCTCAATACCAGATTTTTGAGTATCTTCATATCATGTCTTCTGATCTTATCATCACTTTTTATGACTGTTCTCCTTTTCAACCCTTGTTGGCTGAACCACTTCATAACTTCCCAATCAATTTTTCTAGTTACACATTCTATCTTGCGTGTTCTTAGGTGTTACGAAGCAGAACTAAAGCGTGAAGAGAGGGAAAGACATCCTACTAATCAGAGGGAGAAACATACTCTTTGTCCAGTAAGTACCATTAGTCTTGACATGTAATTTGAGTGCTTCTGTACTAGTTCATTACTTCTGCGCTGTCTGCTGTGTGAGATTTTATGTTAATCATCTTGGTGTGTTTTGCGGAACTAGGTTGTTGGACAAATTATGAAGTTCTAAATTTGAACAATTGCATGTTTGATTTTAGGTATTTGATACTCAAAAAAGGGCATTTCAGTGAAACCTCTTGAGAAATTTATTTTTCACTTGTCTGAAAGCAAAATAAACTATTCAAATAATCACACAATCATGCAGTAGCTCAGAGTATGAGTGTATATTCGTATCTTAATGCAGGTTGAAATTACTGATGTTCCATCTGATACAAAGGACAAAGATGATATTCTTGAGAGCGAATTCTTTGACACTAGACAGGCATTTCTGAGTCTCTGCCAGGGAAATCATTACCAGTATGATACACTAAGGCGGGCCAAGCATTCATCAATGATGGTCCTCTATCATCTTCATAATCCAACAGCTCCAGCATTTGTGACAACTTGTAACATATGTTATCTTGACATCGAAACGGGTCAAGGATGGCGCTGTGAGGTTTGCCCTGAGTACGATGTATGCAATGCTTGTTATCAAAAGGATGGAGGTATTGATCATCCTCATAAGTTGACAAATCATCCATCCATGGTGGATCGTGATGCTCAGAACAAAGAAGCAAGGCAACATCGAGTATCGCAGGTGTTGTACACAATTTTATATCTGCACTTTCTTATGAGAATGGGTCCTCTCATGTCAAATTTTAACATGAAGAAGTCGTATTTAAATCCCATGTCTATCTCTTTCTTGATATCACATTAAATAGAGTTGAGATATAGACACCAAGATTTAAGCACGTTTTGTCTTGTAATGAGAGGATCCATTCCTTTATCTCTACGCAGCATAAAATCTGCTTATATCTCAGCTGTTTTATATTGTATGTCAAATAAAATTTATATTCACATGTAATAAAATTTGAGCATGGATAGGATTTTAACCAGTGAGACATGTAAAAACTAAAACAATTTAAAATTGAGTTTAAGCATACAAGAAAAGACTTATCTTCACTAGGTGAGGTTGCCTCATAGATAAAACTATGTCATTGAATAGAAAATTAAGAATTTTGTTGATTTTTAAAGATATTGGTAGAAAGATGGATCTTCCAAGGACATGATAATTCTAATATATCACGCATTTTAAAGAGTCAACACCTGTATTTTTCCCCTCTATGTACCTGATTCATTTTTTTTTTTTTTTTTAATACAACAATTGCTTCACGGTCCATATTATCTATTTTATCTATGATCATTATAAATCTAGCTGCTCAACCTTTCCAGCTTTTGGTCCCCTCCCTTCTAATGTTTTGTGTTATATTTTTGGAAGCATGAATATTGATTTGATTTTTTTGTCTTTTCCCATGCATTTTGGACGGATTCTCGAGTTTCTCCAAACGTTTGTTGGCTATTGCTTTCTTACACTACTTTGCTTGGTGGGGATATTACACCTTTCTTCATACTTATAGGATCTCTGATATCACTAACTTCTGTATTACAGCTACGGAAAATGCTTGATCTCCTTGTCCATGCATCCCAATGTCGTTCTGCACATTGCCAATATCCCAATTGTCGCAAGGTAAAGGGGCTTTTCCGCCATGGGATGCACTGCAAAACACGGGCTTCTGGAGGTTGTGTTCTTTGCAAGAAAATGTGGTATTTGCTTCAACTTCATGCTCGTGCTTGCAAAGAATCTGAATGCCACGTACCACGTTGCAGGTTTGTGGATCAGAAATTGTCATTATTCTTGAGTTAACTCTTTTTTATAGATCTTGTATGTATTAATACTGTTCTTTTGCGTTAAACCAGAGATTTAAAAGAACATTTAAGGAGGTTGCAGCAACAATCTGATTCACGGCGTAGAGCTGCTGTAATGGAGATGATGAGGCAGAGAGCGGCAGAAGTTGCTAACAATGCGGGTTGAGCAATTCCTACTTGTAAATATGTGGTACTTTGAAGAAATGCTCTAGATAGAGATATACACCGATGCTCCGACAGCAGTGATTTGTTTTTTGTGAATGGAATAGATAGGGCACGTGTGTGGCCTTGGAGGTTCGCATCTCCATCTCAACTTGTTTGTCCCATTGAAGATCCGATTTCAGCCAATTAGTGCTGCTGTCCTCTTCTACGAAGGACTAACCAGGTCCGGCGGGATATTTGGCGGTGCTTCTGTTTTTGTGGGCCGATGTGGTAATTCTTTGATTTTGTCAAGTTCCTTGTGTTATGTTAGATGCCATCCTTCGGTGGCGGGTGTACTATAGTCCTAAATAGGTGTCAAATTTCTTACAAATGTTTGTGGGTGGGGGATGGCATCAAGTCGTTTTTAGTTAACAGCTTTATAGATTCAGTGCATTTTGTAGAATCTCTTATTTAAAGATGAAAGTAAATAATTAGAGTATTCGCATAGTTCTGCTTCCTTTATGAGACTACCTCATTTGTTTAAATTTTATATTTAATATCGATATATTGCTATATGTATTTGATATGCTTGTTCTACTGATAACAGCATATTATGTAAGAATGTATAAATCATGATAAATGTTATATAATTTGGATTATGAAGATCCAACTTATATATTATGGAGATAATAAATTGTAATTCATCATTATGATAAATTATTTTATATTATTTACCCAAAGGAATAATATTATCAATCTTATTATTTTTAAAAATAATTTGTAAAAAATAACTTTCTTATTTATGAAAAATAACATTAATATATTTATATTATATGTTGTATTTTTAAAAGTTTATACACTTCATTAGTAGATATTATTAAAGTATCTAAACTTTCGAGATTATGAAATGAATAAATAAAAGTATTGTATTTCATAGATTTTGATATTTTATTGATAAATATAAATAAAATGTTCTAAGGTATTAATATGAGTATATATTGGATATGGATACGTGAACAAAATTTCATTTATTGCGATGAAAGTTATTTTGTGAAATTTTTAGGATTATTATTATTATTATTAAGTTATTAGGAATGAATAGCTTAAATTATAGTATATGTATACATGTGAACATAATGGAGCATTTAAGTTTGAATTGATCTAAGTATGTTTTAGAATATAGATTACTGAAGTGCAAGGAGTAAAACTGAAAGATTATAATATATTTTAATTGTTTATTCGAATTGCATAATCCTGATTCTGTTTGTAGAATTGTTCATATTCTTTCTTGATTTTTGCCCAATATTTTTTATTTAATCAATAAGGGAATGTTTTTTCGAGGTTATACCGACTTTTTTTGTTTGGTTACATACCTTAATGTTAAATTTGAATTTAGGATCACACTTTTAGGAATTCTATTTTATCCTACTCGAATCAGTGAAGTAGAAAATGACATTTGAATCAGGAGAGTTTTGCATCTGCAAGAGTTTTATACTGTTGCGGTATGCAAATATTGGATCCATTTTAAGTTATTTGAGCGACAAATATCTGTATTTTTCTAGAATTTTCTTCAAGTTAATGTTTAAGTTATTTAGTGTTTAACGTGTCTCTACAACTGTTTCAAATGGAATCCCTCGTTAACTCTTCTTACCACTTACCTCTACCAAGAGTGATGCTAATATTCTTACAACTTATTATGCGAAATTGGTAATCATATTTGAATTTATTTTCTAAATAGTTGATTATTTCCTAAATTAAGTTGTCCCAAACAATACTATGTATCTAGCACGGAATCGAACAGAAAACAGAAGTAGTGGACGTGGAAGCACGGAGTTCTTTATTTTCCTGGCTGTAATCTAATCCAAAATGATGTGGCCAAAATTAATCGTTCCTGTTTCCGGGAGTACGTGTATGAACTGCTGGAAGTACAATTGCTAAAGCTAAAATAACAACACGGGCCACTCACATTTTCTGTGTACGAGTACAACAAAGACAAAGACAAAGCCAAAGCCAAAACATTCACCGACTTGGGTTTTTCGACGGTAATCGCTAATCATGAACACCTCAGCTTCCATTCCTTTCTCAAGAATGAAAGGTTTCATGTTCTTCAATGACGTTCTTCCACGGAAGTCTCGGTTGGTGCTAGCCCCCAGGGCTGCTGATCCTAATGCAGGCAAGGACAGCAATGTGAGCGACGATGAGGTACAAAAGCAGCAGCGTGTGATGCAACAACCACCTGTGTCGCTCAGCCTGGACGACGTTAACCCTGTGGGACTAGGTCGAAGATCACGACAGTTATTCGATGAGGTTTGGAGAAAGTTCTCGGGATTGGGTCAGATTTCTAGGACTATCCGCTCCGATGATCAGGAGGCTCTCGATGCGCTTCTCGTCCGAGAAGGTCCCATGTGTGAGTTCGCAATCCCTGGCGCTCAGAATACTACTGTGCTCGTTGTTGGTGCCACTAGCCGCATCGGTCGCATCGTTGTTCGAAAGCTCATGCTCAGGGGTTACGCTGTCAAGGTGCCCTGCCTTTTCTCACTACTATACTTTTTATTCGGTTTATTATTATCACACTCGTCATGAAATAAACAAAAGGTGACAAAATGAAATGAAATGGCTGTTCAACATAAAGGCTTTCTTTCTGTAATAAAGGCTTTGGTACGGAGGGCAGATCAGGAGGTGGTAGACCTGCTTCCAAGGTCAGTAGAGATAGTGATTGGGGATGTTGGTGATCCCACCACTGTCAAGGCTGCCGTAGAAGGTTGCAACAAAATAATATGTTGTGCCACTGCCCGTTCTGCTATCACTGGGGATCTCTTCAGAGTTGATCATCGAGGAGTTTATAATCTAACTAAAGCATTTCAGGTCTTTCTCCACACTTTGATACCCCTCCTCTACACGCATACACAAAAGAAAGAGTAGGAAAAACAGTGTGCCTCTTTACATTCCTGCCTTCATTAAAGGAAAATTAGCAAGTTAGAATCCAGATAAATCCCACCCTCATCTGGATGTATAAAATGTCTTTTTACATATCAACAAAAATCCGAATGCTTCTTGGTAAAACTTAAATTGGACTTAATTTCAGGATCACAATAATAAATTGGCACAATCACGGGCTGGGAAAAGCAGTAAAAGTAAACTCTTGATTGCCAAATTCAAATCTGCATCTTCATTGCATGGATGGGAAGTTCGTCAAGGAACTTACTTCCAAGATGTACTTGCCACAAAATATGATGGAGGGATGGATGCTAAATTTGAGTTCACCGAGAATGAAGATGCTGTTTTCTCAGGTATATCTGTTGAATATTAATGAACCATAGCAACAGGTTCTATAATATTTGTTGCTTATGATGGAGAACTCTGCATATTCGATTTGTTAAATTGAATGACCCCATGAAACAGCATATTTTTGCAAGTCCGTTTTTACATGCATGTCAAGTCGCAGTTAGTTTTCTGCATATTTCTGTTTTCCTTTGTATAATTTCAGATGCATATCATTCAATGAAATAGCATTCTTTAGTGCACAAAAAAATATGCATGCATTGTTCAATTTTAGCATCTTATAATTTTTGAATAACTAACAAAGTGACACGAGAGTTCTTATCCAAGGGATCTAAGATATTGTGGAAGGGAGTCCACCCTTCATTTCTGAACATAAAACCTGACTAATTTTGCTAGAATGAATCCGGAAGGTTTATTCATTCCAATTTCACTTCCATTATTTGATGGCAATCATTTTCACCTCTAGGGTATTATTAGTATGGAAGCTTATCTTGATGCTTGCCATCTATGGGAAGCCATTGAAGATGTGTACGATCTTCCACTCATACCAGATATTCCGACAAGTGCACAAATAAAAAATTATAAAGAGAGGAAACTAAAGAAAGGCAAAGGTAAGAGCACCCATGTTTGCAACAGTATCATCTACTATGTTGAGCAGAATAATGATACTGAAGACATTCAAGAAGATTTTGGAATTTTGAAGCATGAACGCAATGGAAATGAAAAAGGTGAAAGGATTGCAAGTGCTTAACTTGATCCAATAATTTGAGATATAGAGAATGACAAAGTCATATACGATTAAATGTTCTCTTATAGGATTCTTGGCATAGTCAACAATATAAAGCTCCTTGGTACTGAATTTTTAGATGCTAGAATTGTTCAAAAATTCTAGTGATTATACCTGAAAAATATGAAGCTATAATTGCATCTTTGGAGAACCCATCAAGGGATTTATCAAACATTACTTTGACACAATTGTTGAATGCACAATAGCAAAGTAGAGTTATGAAGTAAGAAGGATATGTAGAGGGAGTTTTCTAAGCCAAGAACTACAAAGGTACCAATTACAATCAAAGAAGAAATAACATTTCTTTTTGCATTGTCCCTATTGCAAAAAAGAAATAATAATAATAATACCGACATAACTAGTGTTGGTGGAGGCTAGACAAAAAATGCTACAATTGTACTTAGTCGGGACATGTGGAAAATTATGTAATTCTTTGTTTGGAGTCTCACATTAAATAAACTAAATTACTTGATTTGGTCCTTGAGACCCTCCCATCTAATGGACTTGTATTTTGGGTGGGATTCTTCTCTTATGCTTAAGTCCTAATAAATGACTCTTTCATTAAGAGTCATGCTATTTATAAAGTTGATTATGGTGCCAACTGAAATTAATTGGTAAGTGAACCGTCAAATAAAGGAGGACTACCTTTGGGTCAATGTTGATAAGTGGAAGTCATTGGGGTCGTTGACCCATAAAGGAAGTGTCAGTGTTAGGAATCCCATATTGTATAAGACTAACTACTAGATGTGGTATTTAAGCATTCAGACTCATCTACCTAATAGACTAGTCTTTCTTTTTTTTGGTTGAGTTTTCATTTTGTCCTAATAGTCTCATCATCACCCATAATAGTTGAAGGTTGCAAAGAATCAACTAGAAGAAGAACAACTCTTTGCAACATTATGTTTTATGTACAAAATGATTCTCCTATTCCTATTCATACCTCCTGATTGTTTCAGTTTTGTATTAGTATTCACTTTTTAGGATGACAAAATGGGTCAGTCTGTCATGTTTGGTTTGTCTCGCCACTAGTCTGCAAAAAACTAGGTGGGACAGGTTGACCCACCATAATCAGGATGGGTTATAGACTCCGGCCCGCTCGCCAAAAGGCGGGTTGACGAGCTAGCTTCGCCAATAGTTTTTTTTATATATAAAATTTTTTATATGTATTTTTTTAAAATATATCTTTACTTATATAAATAATTTTTAAGTTTTTATTTATTAATTAATATTTCTATTAAATAAATTATTGTATTTATGTGTTAAAATAATTAATTATAATCAATAATTTAAACTTAATTGATTAATTTTTATAATTTAAATTATAATATATTTACATATTTCAATAATATAACAAAAAAATATAATATACTTGAAATAGATAATAGGAAAATAAAAAACTATTTTTGAGAGCTTGAAATCATTCTCTTGTGTTCTCTTATTTATAAGAGATAAAGATGCATATTCCGAGATACAAGTAATAGAGAGAAATGATTAAACCTAGAGAAGATAAACAGATGCATTTTAGGAACTAGATCTATAGTTAGATACAACTAATCTCATAAATGCTCAACAAGATACAACTAATCTAATAAATACTTCAACAAATATTTTTAACTATAATCTTTTTTATTTTTATTTTAATATATAAATATTTTTTTAAAACGGGTAAGTTTGTCCTGCTTTTAGCTCACCAAATTGGCGGGCTAAATGAACTAACCCACCTCGCCTTTTTCGGGCCGACTTTTAGCCTATTTTACCATCCCTATCACTTTTTCACATGGTATTAGAGCAAATGATATGACTTGTGACAAAGGGTTCTTTATCTAAGGCTGTTGGAATTATTAGGCTGAGTATAGTTGTATCTAAAAGTTGTTTTGAATTTCACCTAAGAGTTGTACCTATCTCTGTACCTAGGTTTCTAGCTCCGACTTTAGTCCCTTGACCTTCCATCTACTCATTGCATTTGTACTTTATCATTATAAATAAAAGATCATATTAGAGGTATGATTAAGCCCTCTAAAACATATCTTTTCTCTTTTATTTGCTCTTAAGTATGAAAACATCAACTCAAGTCCCACCACAAGTCCCCACCAACAATTGGTGACTTAGATGCTTCGCATTTCTAGTATGACCATAAACTCTACTTTCAATCACGAGTGACTTGAGATGAACATGTTGAATATAGTGAAAACTAGGTATAGGGTTAATCTCCCTTGTGTGTAAAATACACATAGGGTAATATATTTATAATGAAGAATAATACAGGGAAATATGACAAATTTGTTAAAAATATAGGCTGAGATCAAGAAGGGGGTGAATTGATCTAAACATATGCTTTTTACAAATTTTGAATACAAATTATAAATTTCAAAGGTTGAAGAATCCAATCTATTCTTGAACCAATAACCAACACTATAGAGATGAAAGAAAAGTATGAACACCAAGTTTTTATATCGGTTCACCCAATCCACCAGGCTACATCTAATTCTCAACTAAATTCCAATTTAGTTCCACTAATCAAAATTCGTTTGATTACAAGAACAGATTGCAAACAGACAATCTACACCAAGAACTTTAACCCAGTTCTTGAACCTATGACAACAATCAAAACTCCAGTTGTTAAACCAATGCCCACACTTCCAGACACCAAAAATACAATGAATCGAAAGAGAATTGAGAAACTAGAGGAAACTACAACAATCAAACCAGTATGCAAATGCAAATATCCAACCATAGAATGAGTTTCTTTAAAAAACAAGAACAAAGAACCTCAAGAAATATTGGTAAAGAATTCTAATGAGAAGAACAAGTTTCTAAAAGGTTTCTTGGATTCCTTGGTACCCTATTTTTAGGTTCTTCAGAAATTTCAGACTGTTTATGGAAAGTGGTAGAATCTAGTAGCTTTAATTGATACATTTTATTAGTTAACAAATTCTTCATCTGTATCAATAACTGGGTTTCTCTGCATTTCTGGACAAGATTCATCAAAGACAACATGTACAGATTCTTCCACAGTTTTAAGTCTTTCGTTAAAGATCCTATATGCATGACTATTCAAAAAATATCCCAAGAAAATCCCTTCTTCCGATTTTGAGTCAAATTTTCCAAGATTTTATTTTCCATTGTTCAAGACAAAAACTTTGCATCCAAACACTCTAAAGTAGTTTATGTTTGACTTTTTACCTTTGTAAAGTTCATAGGGAGTCTTTTTAAGAAACGGTTTTATCAAAACCCGGTTTAATACATGACAAGCAGTGTTTACAACATCAACCCAAAAATATTTCGAGAAAACTTTCTCATTTAGCAAAGTCCTAGCTAGCTTCTCAAGAGACCGATTTTTACTTTCCACAACACCATTCTGTTGAGGAGTTCTAGGTGCAGAAAAAATATGCTTAATGTCATATTTTTCACAAAATCTATCAAAATTTTCATTCTAAAATTCTCCCTGATGATCACTTTGAATGTTGGAGATAAAATAACCTTTTTCATTCTAAATTTGTTTAGCAAGTTTATTGAAAGCTTGGAGAGTAGAAGATTTACTTTTAAAAACATTGTTTAGGTAATTTTTGAGAAGTCATCTACAATAACCAATGCATATAGATTTCCTCCTAAACTTACAGTTGAAGGTTCAAAGAAATCCATGTGCAAAAGTTCAAGGGATCTTGAGGTAAAAGAACTTTTTGTTTGCTTGTCTTTTTGACATGCATCACACACTTTGTCCTTCACAAACTACAATTTAGGTAACCCTGTTACAAGCTCTTTAGGAATCAATCTGATAAGATGATGCATATGAATATGAGATAATCTCCTATGCCATATCCAAGAATCATTTTTTTTAGCAATTAAACAACCATTTTTTATATATGTTATTGACTCTCTTAATAGTGATTAATACCTATTCTGAACCAGGTCTAAGTATTAGACAATGTTTAGGTTCAGAGATGACTTTGTGACCCTTATCACAAAGCTGATTGATGCTAATCAAGCTATGCTTTAGCCCATCAACATATAGTACACTGTTAATGATTCCAAATTCTGGACATTTAACATCACCCACTCCAAGAATTCTGCCTTTATTGTTATCTCCATAAACAACCGTTCCACTACTTTTAAGTTTCAAATTGTGAAAGTTGGAAATATCTCCAGTCGTGTGCCTTGAACAGCTACTGTCTAGGTACCAAAGATTCTCAGTTTGTTGTTCCTGAAAAAAGATTCAATATGGATTTGGTACCCTTTGAAAATAATAGGGTCCATCTAAGTTATTTGCAATAATTTCTTGGAAACCCATTTCATTTACCTTTAGGAACTGCATATCTTTTTATTTTGCAGAATTTAACTGAGCGCCCTTTTTTCATACAGTAAAAACATGTAATGAATAGTGTAGAAACTGGTTTTCTATATGAAATATAATCTTTAAATGCCTTTGTTTTCATACCAACAATAGGTGTGAAACCAATGCCTGCACGATCAATGACTAACTTTTGTGACCCAAGAAGAACATCAAGATTAGCCTTTATTGTGCAAACTTTGAAACAATTTTGATCAAATATGCAATCTTCTTTTGAAACTCTGGACAACTTTCACAAGGTTCAATTTTCTTACAAATACAGGAAAAATTGTTATGAATCATTTTAAGATATTCAGAATCGGTTTTTTCTTCAAGAAGTTTATTTTCAAGTGTGTTACTTTATCTTCTAACCAGTTATTCATACCTTTCAATCTATTATTTTCTTTGACAAGTCTCTTTGCTTTTTCATGTATTTCATTGAAAGCTTATTGCAAAGAACTGTAATTCATAGAATTATTAGAAGAGATAGAACTTACACGACTGGTTAGAGATTCTTGAACAGTCATCATGCACAGATTAACTTCTTCTTCCTCTGAATTTTCGATTGACGATGTATCATTATCATCCCACATAATGTAGGCTCTCTTTTTAATCGTTTCACTTTTCTTGTCTTGGTTCATGATCTTTTCAAGACATTTCATTCTTATATGCCCCTGTTTACCACAACCATAACACTTGTAATAAAAGAATTTGAATCAGGTTTCTTCACATATCTTTTCTGCACAAGTTTATCTGTATTTCTTTTCTTGAGAAATCTGTTAAATTTCTTGACTAGTAGACCAAGATTCTCACTTTCTTCTTTTGATTCTTCCTCTTTATCACTTGCTTTAAGAGCTATGCTCTTCACTTTCTTCTCTAAAATTTTCTGCTCATTGAACCAGTTGATTTCCATCTCATGTTCCCTGAGTTTTCCAAACAAAGAAGTTGTGGTCATGGTGGATAAATCCTTGGATTCTGAGATTATTGTGACATTGGGCTGCCAAGACTTGTCAAGATAATTTAGAACTTTAATATTCAAATCTTTTTTATCAAATGTCTTACCAAAGACCTATTAAATGATTGATGATGTCTGTAAATCTTTTTTGAACATCAGCGATGCTTTCTCCTGGCTGCATTTTTAATAACTCATACTCTCTTATGAGGGTGAGTTTTCTGGCCCTTTTGACATCAGTTGTGCCTTCATGAGTTACCTCAAGAACTTTCCACATTTCTTTGGTAGATTTGCATTGAGAGACTCTGAAAAATTCATCCATGTTAAAAGCAGATGTTATAATATTTTTTGTAGTACAATCATGCTGAATTTGCTTCTTTTCATCATCATTAAATACAGACCAATCTCTATCAGTAACTAATGGATCTAATTTAATAACATTCCAAATATTCCTATTAATTGATTCAATAAAGATTTTTATTCTAATATTCCAAAATTGATAATTTGTACCATAAAACAGTGGAGGTCTATTGATAGATGTTCCCTCAGAAAAAGGTAATTTGTTTTCAGTCATAAAAGAAAAACTTTAGGATCGAAAAACTTGAATGACTTTCAAGACCTAACTCTGGTGCCAATTGTTAGAAATATAGGCTGAGATCAGCAGTGGGTAAATTGATCTAAACAAATGCTTTTTACAACTTTTGAATACAAATTATAAATTTCAAAGATTGAAAAATCCAATCAATTCTTGAACCAATAACCAACACTATAGAGATGAAAGAAAAGCAAGAACACCAAGTTTTATACTGGTTCACCCAATCCCCCATACTACATCCAGTTCTCAACCAAATTTCAATTCAGTTCTGCTAATCAAAATTCGTTTAATTTCAAGAACATATTGCAAACAAACAATCTACACCAATAACTTTAACCCAGTTCTTGAACCTATGACAACAACCAAAATTTCAATTGCTAAACCGAGTGCCCACACTTCGAGACACCGAAAATACAATGAATCGAAAGAGAATTGAGAAACTAGAAGAAATTACAACAATCAAACTAGTATGAAGATGTAAAGATCCAACCACAAAATGAGTTTCTTCAAAAAAATAAGAATAAAGAGCCTGAAGAAATATTGCTAAAGAATTCTAATGAGAAGAGAAAGTTTCTCTCTTGGAAAAGATCTCTAAAGATTGTTTGATTGATTTCTCAAATATGTGTTTTAAAACGTTGGAAAAAATTTGTTTATATAGATATTTTTCTAGCTAACTGATGTGATTAATCAATTAATTTGCTCATTAATCGATTAAAACAACTTAGCTTATATGAAATTAACTTATGAAAATTCCTTTTAATCAATTAAAAGGTTCTACCAATTTTTCTCAAAACGTTTTAACTGATAAAAATGCATTTTAATTGATAAAAACAAGATTTAATTGATTAAAACTGTGATACAAAAATTGCTTAAGTGTTTTTAGTCGATTAATTCAAAGTTATATCAATTAAAATTCTAGCATTAAGTTTTCTAAAACTTCTTAAGTGATTTTAATCGATTATTTCTAAGATATATCAATTAAAATTTTGACAAAAGGTTTTCTCATACTTCTTAAATGAAATTAATCTATTATTTCGAAAATATATCAGTTAAATTTCTGATAGAAGGTTTTCTCAAACTTCTTAATGGAAATTAATGGATTAATTTGAAGATATATCAATTAAAATTGCAACAGAAAATGTTTTCACTTTGTTTAAGTGGTTTTAATCGATTATTTCGAAAATGTACCAATTAAAATTGCTACAAAAAGTGTTTTCAAGTTTCTTAAGTGATTTTATCGATTATTTCAAAAATTTATAAGTTAAAACTGCTACTGAAGAACATATTAATCGATTAAAATGATTTTTAACATATTAGAAATACTTGAGACACTTTATGTTCTTGTAAAATATAGAAAACCCATGCTATAGGAAATGATAGATGATTATACCTACACAAGGTAGATGCAGATTCACTAATGGACTAACATAATATCTCCTATTTATGACATCTTTTAACTTCATCAAATCTTTAAGACTTCCAAGATTCTTATTTCTTCATCAAAATACACATAAATATGGTAATTATAAGATGTTGTTAGATATTGTGGCTAACAATATCTAATAATATTTAACAATATCTAATAGAACACAAAAGAATTAGAGTTGGTTTGATCACTGCAATAAGCCAGGACGCACAGAGGAGAGATGCTGGCTACTTATGGAAAACCAACAGATTTGAATGACCCGAAGCTGCAGCAATGAAGTCTTGAAAGTGTTTTTTTGTGCTATTTTTAGGATTTTGTCATGTTCTCGACATGTGACATATGTTTAAGCATTTGTTCGTTAAATTATTCTTATCAACTTGTAGATAGTTTTCTTCATATCTATTTTTTTTTTTCTGGATAAATTTAGATGCATATCATTCAATTAAATAGCCTTCATCAGTTCACAAACATATACTGTTCTTGTTTTAGCTCCTGGTATGTTTTTAATAACCAACAACTTTTACCCACTCATATTTCCATATTGATTTCAGGGTATGTCTTCAATAGAGGAGGCTATGTGGAACTATCAAAAAAGCTTTCCCTACCATTAGGTTATACTCTTGATAGGTATGAAATATTAGATAGATGACTTTTGTGGATAAGATAACCATCCAAAATGTTCTGTATAATTTTGTTTTTCTAAAATTAGAAGTTCTATCATGCATTCAAGCATTATGAGTTTATCTATAATGATAGGTATGAGGGTCTGGTTCTCTCTGTTGGTGGCAATGGAAGATCTTATTTATTAATTCTAGAAGCTGGTCCTTCGGCGGATCCAAGCCAGAGTAGATTGTATTTTGCAAGAATTAGTACAAAAGTGGGATTTTGTAGGGTAAGAAAATTTTTCTTTTAACAAATTATGATTTCTCCTATCTCAATATTCTGCTTTGAAATTTCATCGATCTTAGCAATGATGAGAAGCTTTCATATCTCCTCCTATCTGTATTACTATGACAGGTTAGAGTACCATTTTCTTTGTTCCGTCCAGTGAAACCAGATGATCCAGTGTTAGATCCTTTTCTTGTACATACTTTGACAATACGCTTTGAGCCTAGAAGACAGGTTCACTTCCTTACTGCTTTTAATTCACTTTCTTAAACTTAGCTCGTATTTTAGGACATAGTATTTGTCTATGTAATATAAATTCCTTTTTTGCAATATAATTCCCCAACAATTCATCCTCCTTTCATTTACAAATAGCTGGAAAATAGGTCTGAAGAAGAAACAATCTCACAAGATTGCACAAATTCAATGCTCGTGCGAGAAATATAGAGAAATAACTGTAGCTCTATACAATTGACGGCCTGCTAGTTTCCAAATTCCGATAACGGGAAATATAATTCCCCAACAATTTATCCTCCTTTCATTTACAAATAACTGGAAAATAGGTCCGAAGAAGAAACAATCTCACAAGATTGCACAAATTCAATGCTCGTGCGAGAAATATAGAGAAATAACTGTAGCTCTATACAATTGAAGGCCTGCTAGTTTCCAAATTCCGATAACGGGAAATATAATTCCCCTACAATTCATCCTCCTTTCATTTACAAAGAGCTGAAAAATAGGTCTGAAGAAGAAACAATCTCACAAGATTGAACAAATTCAGTGCTCATGTGAGAAATATAGAGAAATAACTGTAGCTCTATACAATTGAAGGCCTATTAGTTTCCAAATTCCTATAATGGGAGGTTATTTAGTATTAGTGTCCAAATGAAAGCCTAATCTGTAGAAGGAATTATACATTCTTTTGAAATAAGAGAAGCATAGGCCGAATCTCTAATATATGTTAAGCACATACGATTATCTCTTTATATATAAGATAAATACAAAGATTAAGGAAATAAGTAAATGATGTGGACCTAAGCTCGTTATAATTAACACTTCCTCGTAAGTCGGTGTATATAAATCTTATGCTCCATGCTTGTTACAAATATACTTCAATATACGGATAGTAACATTTCAATGATCTGTACGTAGAGAATTAATAAACTAAATTTTTTTTTATCCCAAAATATTTTTCTTTAATAAATAATAAAATGCTGAAAATATAAAGGTAAAAGGATTCACATATATCATTTTTTTCATATAAAAATCATAAAGATAAGGAAAATAAGATATCAAAATAAAATCTCATAGGCACTAGAGCTGCCTTTACAAAACTTCAAAAGAATTTCTCAAAACAAAATAAATGGATGATCTTTCTTTGACCCAATGTCACACCTAATTAGAGCATTCTAAAAAATAGATAAAAGAAGTCTAAGCTTCACCACCCATATCTCCTTCCTTATCTAAAATTGGTTCACCTTGGATCAAGTCATTTGCTTAAGTAACACTCAAAATAAAGATCCTTCCCATAGTTTTTGGCCTATTGGATTGACCATCACTTTTACTTATCTTAGGATGGGGACAATCCCTTGCGATATGCCCCTTCCCTTGACAATTGAACCATGTCATCTCCTTTTCTGGGCAAGAAGTAATCCAATGAAATGACCACACCTGGCACACCTTACTACATCCACTGGGGAGGGGCCTACGATGCCACCACGTGTAGCTGAACTAGTTGTTGGTTGATTTCTTTGTTGTCCTCTTTGTCTATTAATAGATTGATTAGTCGGGGCGGAATATGGTTTACTCCTACCAAAAGATCTTTGTCTTCTTTGATCTCTGATTGGCCTCACACTCTTATAATGAGCCACACGTACCCAATTATCTTCATCATAAATTCTACACTTGTTCACCATGTTATTTCTCCTGGTATTTAATGGCTTGTTTTATCTTAGGACGTAATCCATTAAGAAACTTCATGCACTTTGAACGTTTACCATCCACACCATTATAGTGAGGAAAATAGCGTACCAATTCCTCAAACTTTGCAGCATACTGCACAACAGTAGAGTTATCTTGTTTTAGTTCCAAAAAATCCATCTCCTTATTCCCAATGTCCTCCAGAAAATACTTCACCAGGAAAACTACTTTAAAGTTATCCCAGTTCACCAACACAAACTCTGCAATCATCCTCTGTACGGTGTTCTCCCACCAATATCCAACATCATCACTCAACATGAATTTCCCAGTAGACACCTTTTGCACATTTGGGCATTCCATAGCTCTAAATTTTTTTTCTTTTTCTCTTAACCACTCTTGTGCTCATTAGGATCATATCCTCCCATGAATGTGGGTGGATGGTTCCTTTGGAACTCGATCCGACCAGTTAGTTGCGACTGCTCTAACATTTTGATTCTCAATTGCCTGTACCAAGTCATGTATAGCATGACACGATCATTCACCCCAATCATTATTCTTGAATGACGATACGCAATAGTCCAAGATGTAATGTGCTAATCTAAGAGTCGCTCTCCAAACGCTTCACGTCTCGTCTTTCCCAAGGTTTCTCCCAAGTTTTAGAAACTAAATAATGTACCTAGGCATGCAATAAAAGTAGGGACGGCAAAACGGGTCGGTCTGCCAACCTGCTATAAATATGGCGGGGCGGGTTGGTGTTTTCAGCCCATCAACCCGTCAGGCCAGCCCACGACCCGCCTAATTAAGAAAAAAATATTTTTTATTGTAATACAGTTAGTCATAAAGACAATATATAAAGTGAAAATTTGTAAAAAGAGAATTAAAAAAGTCTCACTCTCATTCATTGTAGAAAATATTTTCCTTACTCAAACACAAGCTCTTCTTTCTCCTCTTCTCATTGTTGCTTATCATCTTCTCCTTGTTTATCTAGAGCATTGACTATTATTATCCTTATGACTTGAATTAAAGGTGTAAAAATTACTTAAGAAGAGAACAATGTGAAGTTTTATCAAATAAAAAAGATATAGGTATTTAAATTTTTCAATATAAAAAATATAAATTTTACAAATTTTGACGTTATTTATATATATTTGTTATTATTTATTATTTTATATAAATTTTATTATTGTTCTAAATTATAATTTCTTAAAATAATGTGTTGGTTTATATTATTAACTTAAAATATATATATATATATATATATTGAATTATTGATAGACAAATGATAATTTTATTATTAAATTTATTAAAAAATTTGATTTAAAAAAAAATATTAATTTTTTTAAAATTATGGACTGGCTAGCTTGCTAACCCATCAACCCGCCCTTTGGCGGGGTGGGGCGGGCCAAGACCTACAACCTGTCATGACTATAGCGGGCTAACCCGCCCCACCCCAATTTTGGTAGGCCAAATGGGGCGGGTTGACTCATTTTGCCACCCCTAAATAAAAGCAGTTAAACCAAAGTTTTGACGACCCTCATATCACCTGAGAAATTCATTGAAGATAGCAGGTTGTTCTAAATGATAAGAGGTAGTAGCAGCAACAAAAGAAGCCATAGCTCATTGTAGAGATAAGCTGATTATCGGGAGAGAGAAATAGCCCTAAAAAATATTTAATAATTCCAACGAGTCTCAATCACAGTGAAAGTTATAGATCTAAAGAGAGGGTAGAGGCGATGTTGATTGGTCCCGCAGATGACACTTGTTGGAAGTCTTACATCGCCTGTCTCATATCATTTGGTATAGTTTAAATACATGTTATACTACTCCACATATTGCCAATTGGTTTTATGTTGGAACCTTAACATCAGAGCCAAAACCTAACATCTTTCTGGTTATTGTCTTGGGCCAAGAGTTTCCCTTTCGTTGTGGGTTAAAGTACCCTTTGTCTGGTCCGACAGGTTTTGTTGGAGGGGGCATGTTAGAAGTCCCACATCGTCTACGTCATATCATTTGGTATGATTTAAATACATGTTAGGCTACTTCACATGTTGTCAATTGGTTTTATGTTGGAACCTTAGGCTACTCCACATGTTGTCAATTGGTTTTATGTTGGAACCTTAACAACACCAAACATGCTACCACGTGCGATGATGATGATTGCTGAGGTTTGGTGAGGGGGTCAGGAGGGAAAAAAAAATACAAAATAAATACAAGGATTAAGGAAATAAACAAATGATGTGGGCCTAAATCTATTACATTTAACACATTGCAAAAGGATTTGGGGAATAATTGTTTTGAGGGGCTCATTAATATCTAGTAATCGAATACCGATTTTCAAGATGTTAAAAGTCAATCTTACCAACTATCAATAAGTAATTTATAAGAATTGGAAAACTATTGAAATTTCTCCCATGTGAAGCTTTTTAAATCATCCATTCTATATGACCCAAGAGGAGTCAAATAACTTTAGTACAGTAATTAACAAACAAATGCATAAAGTTAAATTCATGGGAAAACCAAAAATGTAATTTAAAACCAAGAGGGAGTCTATGACTCTGTTTTCAATTCTGTTCAAAGACATCCTGATCATCCTGAAATGATCAGATCCTTCTTGACTTTTAATATTACTGGATCAGATTTTAGGAGAAGAATAATTGTTCAAAAACTTCTCCATCTCTGTATCTGTCTGGTAGGGACGTAGGTCCATTGAGAGAGGCCTGATCTAGGAAAAGAGTTGAAGGTTACACTAGGAGGAAGAAACAATAGGCTGGACGTTCCTAGTTTTATTTATATTGAGTTTTTCAAGCATAAATTTGATTTACCTTTTTATAGAATTAGGGATTAATTGTGGTTTTAGTGTTTGTGATTTCAACTTAATTGATATGACTAACAACATAGTGATGCTTTAGCACTCTCATTTTTATTTAAAAAAAAAAAAAGAAAAAGGGAAACTGTCTCTGTTAGGAACCAAGAATTGAAATGAAAAAAATAATTTTTTTTATTGAATAGAATGAAAAGAACAAGAAATAAGACAGCATTCTTTCCTCCAAGAGTTTCGCCTTCACAAACGATTTCTTCTTTCACAAAAAACTATTGCTCAATTTACAAAAAAATGAACTCCCTTCTCCTATCCTTCTTACCCTAATTATATCTAAATAACACATCAAGAAACTAACTCATTAATATACTAATTATCTTACTAACCTCTCCTTCACTTTTTACCCTAAACAGTCTTACAACTGAGTGACTTGGTTAATTAGTAAGTATAAAACCTTATTGCGGTCACAGGTGTAGCATTCCTAAATATATTTAATCAGCCTAACTTCCCTTTCTATATTAATATCCCTAGATAGCTTCACAATAATGTTTATTCTCTGATAGATGGGCTTGACTAAGGCTTCCAATAAGCTGATTAGCACTTATTACAATTGATGAAAACAAGATGAAAGAGAAGCAAAACTGCTTAGTAATTCTACTATACGCTATTAGGAGTGTATTTTAAGTTCAAAGACGAGGTAACAAGGCACATAATGTGTTTTCTTAATTCTGTGTTGCAAATACCAATCTATTGGGTTGTGGGTTTAAAACTTTATGGGGGGTAGCAATGGTTCCACTTTTTTCTTGAGTTTCCCTCATGGTCCCACATTGATCATACAAGGTTGTAACCTTAAATGACTATACAACTTCTGATTGGCCAAGCAAGAAAAAAGTTGATCTAATTCCTGTCCAGTATTAATTCTTGCTATTTTCCAAGAAAGAAGTTCCAAGACAATTAAAATTAATTTGTTATTTCCAACACAACTAATTCCTAAGGCATTTTACCAAACACAAATGTTCTAACTTCTTGCTTATCGACCTTTTAAAATTAAGGACATGAAATTAGAAGAGGGCCTTAGGAGATCCTGTAGCCTTGAAATTTCCTTTCATTCACACGAGATTCATTTTCTTTGGGATTCCACTGATTGACAGATTGGATAAGAATGTGACTCCTACCCTTGAACACTTGAATCTTGGCCAAGAGTGGCTTCTTGCTGCAATCCATTCCTAATGTCTAATCAGCGATTGTGAAAAGATAATAGTTTCCTGTACCCTTTGTAGTAACTATTGTCTTCCTTTCCAATTAAATAACTTACTGACTTCTAAAAATGTGCAAGAATTTCCAAAGGTCCCTAATTTCCTTATATTTTTAACATGATTTTTCCTCTCTTTCCCTAGATGTACTTGTGTTTTTATTTTTAAATAGTGTATAAATGTAGTGTGTTGATCCTCTATTCATTCTTGTTTCAGAAGCCTGTTGAAGTAAATGCAACTACGAAACAGGATTTAAGGAGCTTTAAGCTTATATTGGAGTATATTAAAGCCTTGCCGGTATGTGTTTCAATGCAATTTTTTTTTATGGTGGCATAAATAATGTTATTATATGATATATGATTTGATTACATTAAATAAGGAGATATGATATAATATGATAGGGAAATATCTTACTTAATATTTCCTATTACTAGATATTGATTTTGTTTTTATTTAGTATATCTCTTTTTCGTTATAAATATGAATAGTCATGTGTACACAACACACAAAATTAATTATATTTCTTCTCTGATTCTTCCTTCTCAACATGGTACCAAAGCGGGAAAATATTCACGACTTGTTTTATCACTAATCTTTTCAATATAATATCAAAGTCTATCCTATAAAGTTTGTTTGGCCTATTGTACTACCCATTATTGAGCCGCCATTGGACTATCCATTAATATTGTGTTACAAACTCAAAATGTTAAATTCTCAATGTGAAAGAGTGTTTTGGAGATTTCATATTGACTAGAGATATGACTAAACTATAGGATATAAGTGAGTACAAATCTTATCTTACTAGTCGGTTTTATAAGGTTAAGCTATGCTTAAAGTTTATTTTCTAAGATGGTATTAGAGTTTGTCTTACCAAGGTTTTGTTAGATCAATTGAGCCATCCAGAAATATCTAATTCCATGCTTGAGATGTTCAAACTTTGGCATGAGGGTGTGTGTTGGAGATTCTATATTGACTTTAGATATGACCAAAGTATAGTATATAACTAGATACATACCTCATTTTACAAGTTGGTTTTGTAGGATTGACATAAGGTAAATCCACTTTCTAATTAGTTAGAGATCCCACATCAAATAGAAATATGATCAATTATAATAGATAAGTAGATGCAATTATATGTTGGTTTTATAGCATTGAGTTACACCTAAAAATTTACTTTCTAATGCGGTATCAAGAGCCTAATGAGAAAGAAACCCAAATCCCTGCCTTGCGAATGGACCCACTACTTGTAACAGCAAATTTCTTAAAACTCGTGTATGTCTTTCCTGTAGTTACTATTTTCACCACCAACATTTTTCTGGTGGCTCCAGTTCACCATCAACGTTTTCTAGATAGGTTCTTCTATAAGAAACCATTAAGGGATTTTGACGAGATAGTGATGAAAGGGACAAGCCTTGACAACAGACACAATTTGCTGATGACATAGAAGAAAGTTTTTGTCATCTAATTTTTCAGTATTCTAAAGTGAAAAAGTAGTATGAGCTGAGATAGGGATTGTATCACCTGGCAAACCTTGTGATGTTTCAGGCTATGGTGGAGGAGGAGGATGGTATTTAGGAGCTATGGCTATGGATCACATAACTTGAAACCATATTAAGAGAAAATAATGAATAGAAAGAAAACTGCATATTGAATATCTAAATTTTTACAAGTGATGTCCTCATACTTACAACAACTATGTATGATGAGCTTCTGATGAAAATAGTTATAAAAACTAACACCCAATGACAGTTGTAACTGTCTAACAATCAAATTGATAGTAACAGCTGTATTTGTCATACAGAAAAAAGAAATCAGAAAATGACACTTATAACTAACATATTACAACTAAAGGAGTTATTCACTCACATGGTTCAGGAACCTTTAAGTTGTATACGTGTTAACAACTTGGGCCAGCTATTGCTAAAGTGGACTCTTCTCCTTCCCCAAACAATATCATTTACTATATTATGCCTCCTTTTCAAATAGGATGTTAGGTATATTGATATTGTTGTGCAAGTCATGAAGTGATATACTCTCATCTATACTTGTTCTAAGAATGCTATTGTCTTCAAGTATTGTTACTGGAGTGTGTGAATAGTATTTGTTGGCATACATTCCTACAATCCTACGTTAATCTTTTGGACTGATCCTGATATGTTTGGTGCCAACAAAGTGAAAAATTAAACATAAACACTCAGCTTAACAAAGCATTTGGGTGATTTATGTTCTGTTGCAATATTACTGATATTTAGTGGTACTTAGTACTCTAATTTAAAATCTCCATGTGAATATACTGCAGACCGGGCAGGAAACCGATTTTGTATTAGTTTCATGTTCTGGACAAGGAATTGAGCCTTCCAGACGGGAACAGGTTCTTAAAGCCAAGAGGGTTGGTTTAATTTATTGTGTTTTGTTTCTTTAATTTAGTTGAAAAGTTGATGCTTTTGTTCCATTCTATTTTTTGTTAATGTCTGATCTTGTCAATGTTGAATACTCCAGGCCGGTGAAGATTCCCTGAGAAGATCTGGCCTCGGATACACGATAGTTCGTCCTGGTCCATTGCAGGTCAAATTTCCACTGTGGCTCATAGATAAAAAATTGTGATTGATTTAGTTGCAAAATAAGAAATCCACTGATACTAGCATCATGCAAGGAGGGAATCCTCCCGAATAGCTTCCTCAAGAGGGGAGATGATGGGAGAGTTCCCATTACTACTATTATTATATTACACAAGTGTACAAAAGGATATGTCCCCTAAAAATGAATCACAAAAATATGAGAAAGCAAGTACTAGTAAATGACTCCTGTCCGGCCAGAGCATATGAATAAAACATAGCCTTACTCGACCACTGTCGACGTACTCCCTAGTGGTATGATAATTACCACTAGTAAATGACCACTGTCCACTTACCAATCTAATGTTCAATCGAGTCATTGATTTCCTCTGTCTGTAGCTCCCTTCAGGATGATTTAAACGACGTTTTTTACAGAATATAGAAACAAGAAAGACAAAGAAATAAAAGGGTAAGAACCAAATAATAATAGTTTAAGCATAGTATTATATCATGTAAACAAGGTAAATCATGACTAGTCTCATTTGAACAACGTTCATTGGTGAGACTCATAATAGTAATAAACTTTTACAAGGATTTACATATGAAACATGGATGTCTCGAATATGCATGAAAAGGGGAGAGTTTATTTGTTGCATTTCTAATTATGCTCCTTTGTTTGATGTCTCTATCATCCAACCATGTTTGGTGGAGCCCATATCTTGTAAAGATTTATTTGTAACAAGCTTAACGATTAGTAAGTTTTACCTTGAAGCGGAGTAATAGAATAAATATTAAGTAATATCTTGATGGTTAATAAATTCAGTGGTGGGGTCATTTTCGAGGCTAGTATATGTTGTAATTCATTTTTATGATGTCTAATCAATGTCGAGCTACGGAAGGTTGAGCCTCCGGTAAGCTGAACGTAATATTGTAGCTTTTCGTCCTTTTCAGTCTGTTCGTAGAAATAATTTGGTGTTCTTCTATTGTCAACTAACTTGCAGTTTTTCTGACAGGAAGAACCTGGAGGGCAGCGTGCGCTAATATTTGATCAAGGAAACAGAATATCTCAGGTTAGTATATTCTATTCTGTGCTAAAGGAGAGTATCAACACACTAAACCTCTTTTCAACACATTCTCTTTCTTATTGGTTGAACCATGTGGGTCTCACTAGTTTGAAGATAGGATCCTCCAAATAGGAAATGAGGCATATGTTTAGTGAGACCCATGAGTGAATGAGAAGGGAAGTCTTAGAGAGAGTTGCTAGTATTTCTCTTTTGTACTATCTTTATGGATGCCTTCCCCTCTCCCAGTTGCAGTCAGATACACATGCCATTTTTTCAAAAAAGTTTTCTCTTTCATTCTTTATTTGTTATACTTGTGTATTCAAATACCCATAAATTGTTTTGCATTAAATAACGATCTGTATAACGCCTGTTACTAAACTTGATTTTTAGGGCATCAGCTGTGCTGATGTAGCCGATATATGTGTAAAGGCACTGCACGATACAACTGCAAGAAACAAAAGCTTTGATGTGAGTGAACCTTTTTGGTTAAAAGATTGAACTTTGATCCCAAATGAAACTAAAACTTCATCCTTATCCTGTAGGTATGTTACGAATATATTGCTGAAGATGGAAGGGAGCTTTATGAGCTGGTATGGGAACAATGATTGATCGCATTTTTTGAACTTAAAAATATGATGAAAATAAACTGGTTATTTTTGTGCCTGCTTAGGTTGCACACTTGCCCGACAAAGCAAATAACTACTTGACACCAGCACTCTCGGTCTTAGAGAAGAATACCTGATCATCCCTTACTGAGACAAAATACTTTACGGACGCAAGATTTCATAAATTTGCCACCTACGTTCTTCTGCTTCTACATGACTGCCTAAAGTGATTCTTGTAACTATTTTTCCTCTCTATATTCTTGTGTAACCATAAGCTACGAGTTGAGAAATTAAATATATTTATATATTCCTTCTTTGTCAACGGTGTTCCTATGTGTGGTAGGTGTTGGAAAAACAATAATAATAATAATAATAATAATCCTGATTTTGATTCTAACAATCAAACATAAACATAATCTCATACTGATAAACATGTTGTAAACTAAATGCGAAAGTGTACCTGAATTAGCCATAACGATGATGTCTTTGTAGAGCACTATATTGATCTTATGGTCTTCCACCTGAAGAGCACCTGTATTTCCCGCTTGATTTTCTCTCTTGATGGAGATAGAAAGAAAGGAACGGGACTGATACTTACATTCTGTGTGTGTGCTCCCAGAAGGGGACCATGACCCTTTAGATAACCAGAATTAGGTTAATTACTTAAGTTTTAGTATTTCCAATTTGGTCCCTCATCAAATTAGAAATTGATGTATGGTCTCTACACAATTTTATTTTCATAACATATGTCTTTAGCCAAAACTTTAATTTAGTCAGATCACTTTAATATTTGGCTTAATAAATAATGACCTTAACACATTTAAATTATGTATCATATATATATATATACATGACCCAAATTTTGCCAACAATCTCCCACTGGTCACAAATATATATGTCCTTACAATCTTACAAATGTGTTAGACTTTATGAGCTTAAAATTGTCATTATATTCCTTTAGCATACTCCAAAAGTCTTGTCCATTAATCATATCAGGATATAGAACCAAACTAGCTTTTCATTGCATCATCGCAATTAAAACCAACAATGATTACTCATCCTAACATAATCAAATGACATGGATTCATCATGAAATGTGTAGCATGAAAAATTACGTGAAGGTGATCTGTACACGTCTATTTTCAACTGGTCCAAACTTTAACTTATCGAGATCGATATAATATCCTTAATGTACAAAGTGTAATGAATGAACAAAAAAACCGCATATCTATAGATAATCAAATATGTCCAAAAAAAATGTATACATATATGAAATTAAACATAGAACATAAAATATATGAAAGTGACTAACTCCCACTAAATCACAAATTCCTCAAACTGTAAAACATCCATGTGAGCAAAATGCTCATGAAAGACCTTGGGCGGAAGTCCTTTAGTTAGAGGATATGCTATCATGAAGTTTGTCCTTAAGTGTTCTATGAAAATCTGTCCACTTTGTACTCTTTCCTTAACAATACAGCTGATTTATTGTCATAATATAACTTACGTGGTCTTTCAATGTCTTTCACAATTTGTAGCTCTGTGATAAAATTTCTCAGCCATATTCCATGATTTGATGCCTCATAGCATGTTACAAATTCTTGACATCCTACAAAATCTGAGTCAGAAAACCCAGTGATCTCCAACTGGTCTGACCTCCTATATGTGAACATATAATCTTTTGTTCTCTTTAAATATCTTATGACTCTTTTTGCTGCTTTTCAATGATCTATTCCTGGATTGCTTAAATATCTGTCTAGAATCCCAACTATATATGCTATGTCTGGATATGTACATACTTGGGCATAGATCAAACTCCCTACAACTGATACATAGGGAATCTTTTGCATTTCCTCAATTTCCAAATTTCCCTTTGGGCACTGATTGAGACTAAACTTGTCTCCCTTTAAACTTGTGATACCCACAATCATTAACAATATTCATCTTGAAGCCAAATGAGTTTCATACCTTCTAGTAATGGGACAAGTTCCCAATAACCTTATTGTCTTGCATGGACTTATACTTATCCTATTGCTTCAATCGACTTTTGAGAGTTAGAACCTTGTATAGCTTGACGGAAGTTAACTGAGTCATTTTCCATTATATCATTATTTTCCTCATGTTCCTGAAGAAATACCATGCAATCATCCAAAATAGCACTTCTTCTTTCTCTAATGGATCTCTACAAAGTTATTAGCTCATGATGCACAGGTTCTTGAGGATCTTGAGTTTGTTCTTCATGAACAACAAAATCATCTTGAGTGAGGGGTTCATCAATAATGCCTTGTGGAGGTTCCGAACTTACTTTATCAAAAATAACTATTTCAATCGGTTCTAAAATTGTTACCGATTCTTCCTCCAAGATGAAGTTCTTAATCTTATTCTTCCCCCCAAACTCAATATCCTCAAAGAACGTAGCAGTTCCCGTCTCAAAAATTGTCTTTAATGTAGGATCATAAAATTTATATCCCCTGGATCTTTCAGAATAACCAATAAAATAACTACTTACTGTTCAGGAGTCCAATTTCTTTTCATTTGGCTTATAAGGCTTTGCCTCAGCTGGACAATCCCACACATGGAAATGCTTCAGACTAGGTTGTCACCCAGTCCAAAACTCATAAGATGTTTTGGTAGCTGCTTTAGTTGATACTCTGTTTAGAATATAAGTTGTCATATTTAGTGTTTCTCCCCAAAGTGATTCCAGTAAGGTGGAATGACAAATCATACTCTCTACCATATCTTTAAGAGTGTAACACAAGCCCAAACGTCACAATTTGATGTTACCTGAGCACTTGTGCCATAATACACTTGAGTGAGTATTTTCAATTTTACGTTTAGTACCACATGATTCTGTATTAAGGGTTTCATTATAGGTAGTCACAATATCAAGTAAATACTGATTATCATAAATCAAAACTGAACCAGTTCCAACAATATCTTAATTAAAAGACAAACTGAACTTATTGTTTCCAAATGAACACAAATAACCTAATTTGTCCAAATAAGAAACTGAAACCAAATTCCGTCTAAATGACGGCATAACAAAAGTGTCTTTCAAATCCAAATAAAAAATTAGTACTTAATAACAATTTAAAATGCCCTATAGCTTCCACCTCTACCGATTTGCCATCTCCAACATAAATCCATCTTTCAGAATCAATTGGCTTCCGGTAGTTTAGGCAACCCTTTCTTTTCACGCCAAACATGATATTTAGCACATTTCTTCTTTACGTGTCCAGTCTTATTGCAAAAGAAACATTTGTTTTCTTGAGTTTGTTTCTTTTGTTCTGGACCCTTAGCACCTTCTGACAGTTGTAAGATACCTTAAATTGATTAAACGTTGCAGGAAGAGAAATCAACACCAAATGAATGAGCAAGTCTTCTGAGAGTTCAAGCTTTAGTGCCTTGAGTTTAAAAACAATATTAGACATGCTCATAATGTACTCCCTGATATTTCCTTTGCCTTGATATTTCATGGAGATCAAGTTCTGAAGAAGAGTGCTTACCTCCACCTTATCGCTTTTTGCAAAGCGCTGCTCAATTTCAGCAAGGAATTCTTTGGCACTTGTGATGTTTTCAGAAACAGTGCCCCTAAACACCTCCGGGATGTCACGCTTAATGATCATTAGACTCATGCGATTTGAGCGATCCCACTTCTCATAATCTCTTTTACGTTCGAGAGATACTTGAATCCGTAGGAGTAGGGGTTGCTCGATCCTTAACGCAAGATCCATATCCATGCAACCAAGAACAATATCAATGTTCTCTTTCCAGATCCTTAAAATTTGTTTCATTGAGGACCGGAACAAAATTTAAATTGGCGAGATACGAGAAATAATTGTAGCTAAATTTAGAACACGAGAAATAAACTAATTATGCTCACATTATATAAAAAAATAAATAATATATATTCAAATAGTGGTTTAACCCATCTCAAGACACCCAATGCACCATCAATATCAAGTCTTTGGACAGTAATATTAACTGCTAGAGGTATCTTGTTGTAATAATCAAACATTGACAATAAAGCACGTCCAACAACAAACCAGTCTTTGGATTGATTTATCATCGACAAAGCAAATCCTTATAATTATCACATGTTTATCATTACAAGTGTATATGCAATTCGGTCAAATATTAATCTTCCTTTGGACCGACTAATACTCGCATGAATATACACAGACACTAACATTCAATATTTTTTATGAACTGTCCAATTCAAGAGAAGTTACTTTGGTGACTTCTTGACTCAATTTGCTCACAAAAAATATTAAACTACCAAAAATTGAATATTTAATATTTGCAAACTAATTCAAAAGAGAATAATCTCATTAGAATTCTACTAAGGATGAACACCTCCCTAAAATCTCATTAGGGATGAACACCTCATTTGAATAAATCAAAGGATGAAAAAAAGGCCTCATTTTCCACCAATACATAAAGGATGAACATCTCCCTAAAATCACACTAGGGATGAAACAAAGATAGTTCTGAGTCTCTTTAGCATACTGCTCTAAACCCTAAAAGGGGATTAGACAGTAATCACTCAAACCCTAATTTAACATCAAATTTTCCTAAAAATAAGAACAGTCACACCTGTGGAAACATTCACCATTTACCTAATATTCTCTGTGTTGGGAACTCCACAAACACCACCCTCAATTCCAAACCCATAAAATTAAATAAAAACAAAAGATTTAAAAAAGAACAAAGAACCCAATACAAGAAAGATTGAAATTTGAAACATTGTTTCTTTCTCAGTAAAACTTGAAACTTAAACCGAAATAAAAGGGAAAACCGAAGAAGAAGAAGAATCTATAGCTTCCTCCACGATTCCATCAGCAAGCGAGAATCAGATTGGGGATATTACCCCAGATTTAAATTTTAGGGTTTACGAAAATTAGATATTATTCTCCACTTAGGGTTCATAAAATTGGGTATTTTGAATTGTTTAAAACAAAATTAATCCTAATTTTCATAATTAGGGTTCTATAAATTAAACGAGACATGAATCAAATATGGGCGGCTCCGATACCAATTGTTGGAAAAACAATAATAATAATAATAATAATAATAATAATAATAATAATAATAATAATCCCGATTTTGATTCTAACGATCAAACATAAACATAATC